GGCTTTTCTGCCACCATCCTTGACCACGAGTGATGCCACTGCTGAAAAAGTTTCGTTGCAAGCTCTTATCGATGAATGGCACACTTACATGGGCATGGTCACTGCTTTCGATGCAGATAGCCCCTTGCTGTGCTTCCAGATCGATCGCTTCAAACCTGACTCCCAAGGTACACCTGTGAAGGCCACCTGGCAGCTCGAGCTCTCCGTGGTTGAGATCTTGGTATCCCCTGACCCTATGTGTCTGGAAACTGAGGTATATGAGTATGTCCCCATTGCAGGGATTGTTCATCAAGGACATGACCAACAAGGTCACCTACAAGGCGTTGGTCGAACCACCAAAGGCTGGGTGCTGTTCGACGACGGCAAAGAGTCGAGCTGCCTGCCACATACCTCCATTCCACGACCGTCGGACTGGATTTGCGTGTGGTTGATCCGCCAAACACGACATATTGAGGTCTTGCCCTCCTACTATACTCGAGGACACGATGCCAAAGTTCACCAAGTTGTTCAACTCCTTGACCAACAGAGCTGGCAAGAGTTGGAATCCAGGGAGGAGCTGATCCGCTATTTTGCAGTTCACTGCGGTGCATGCAGCCAGATATTCACAGACATGGTCACACTCGCACGGCATGTCTTTCAGAGGCACTTTAGCCTTCGCTGGACATTGACCAGGCCCGCCGAGATCCATGGCCTTGATCATCGAGGGCTGGAAACTCCTTGCTTGATGTGTGGAGCAGTGCCCTTGCTCACTCCTGGTATGACTTCGGTGCCCTCACATGGTTGCACTACTGTGCTCAACCTGGCCTTGGCGAAGGCCTATCACGAGGAGGAACTCAAGGCAAGAGGCGAGATCTTTGGTGCTCCGCGACCACCAGCTGAGCCTGTTTTGAACGATAGCTTAGGTTCCTGGCTTGCAATGGAAGACTAAGACCACTTAGCCATGTGCCACTCGGCTGAATCGAGTGGATTTTGAATGGAAGGTCGAAATGACCTGATGGCGCGAGGACTACCTCCGTGAGTGAATCTCACGTATGCCCACATAGCTCCAAGACATTGGAGATGAGCGCAAAGAAAAGAAAGAAAGTATTGTCCTTGCTCCTAGTAGTAAAGCCAGGAGCCTCTAGTATTGTCCTTGCTCCTAGTAGTAAGGCCAGGAGCCCCTATAGTAGGAGCCCGTATAGTAGCGTCCTTGCTCCTAGTAGTAGGGCCTGCTCCTAGTAGTAAGGCCAGGAGCCCCTATAGCAGGAGCCCCTATAGTAGCGTCCTTGCTCCTAGTAGTAAGGCCAGGAGCCCCTATAGTAGGAGCCCCTATAGTAGCGTCCTTGCTCCTAGTAGTAGGGCCAAGAGCCCCTATAGTAGCGTCCTTGCTCCTAGTAGTAGGGCCAGGAGCCTCTAGTATTGTCCTTGCTCCTAGTAGTAAGGCCAGGAGCCTCTAGTATTGTCCTTGCTCCTAGTAGTAAGGCCAGGAGCCCCTATAGTAGGAGCCCCTATAGTAGCGTCCTTGCTCCTAGTAGTAGGGCCAAGAGCCCCTATAGTAGCGTCCTTGCTCCTAGTAGTAGGGCCAGGAGCCTCTAGTGTTGTCCTTGCTCCTAGTAGTAAGGCCAGGAGCCTCTAGTATTGTCCTTGCTCCTAGTAGTAAGGCCAGGAGCCTCTAGTATTGTCCTTGCTCCTAGTAGTAAGGCCAGGAGCCCCTATAGTAGGAGCCCCTATAGTGGCGTCCTTGCTCCTAGTAGTAAGGCCAGGAGCCCCTATAGTAGGAGC